AGAGTCTGTACAATGAATTGGGCAGCTTTGGGAGGGGGGTTGTTGTAATATTAAATGCAATGATTCAATCTGATTGTTTTTAGTAAGACAAAATTGTAAGAAACGATGTAATATTGGGTAACTATTTCTCCACTGGAGTAAAAATACATGCTCCTTCAATATCCAAGAACAATTATTTTGGATCTATTATGTATCCAATACTTGCTATATCCATGGGAGAAAAAAATAGTCTCAGTTATCTTTGGGGTCAGTGCTTCAAAATGGGAAGAGTAAAATTTTAATAACCACCAGGGTTAGGGACATAGTTCAGTTCGTGCAATCCTTGCCTTGTAAGCGTGAAGACCCACAAAAGAATGCCAGGCAAGGTGGAACTTCTATATTGCCAGCACTGGGGAGGAGGAGACAGGAGGGTCTCTGGGATTCACTGGCCAGTGAGTCTAATCTAACTGGTTAGTCCAAGCTAGGGAGATACCCTGTGCCGAAGGAGGTGGACACCTGAGGCCATCTTCTACCCTCCCTACGCATGCTCACATATGTGTATGTGTACCTGCACACACATGAAGACACACACACATGCACACACATATTAGAAAATAAATAAATATTAGATGTGCTAACCAGTCAGTTGGTCATGGCATAGTTCCAGTATTTTTTTATAGAAAGCATAGGGTTTATGAAATCAGAAAGATAACAACATGTTCAAAATGAGAATCCTATCTTCTTGAGAATGAGTGATTTCTAAATGCCTCCTGCCAGGTCCATTGGTAGCAGGAACACCAAGGATGTAGCAACAGTTACTGGGTCAGCCCTTAACCAACATCCCAGAATACAAATTTAGCCACAGATATAGTATTTTCTTCCATGGTTTTGATACAGTCATCTCCATGTGGTAGGTCATCACCAAGTAGACTGGCTTTGTTCTTGTGTCTGGTCAGGGTGAAATCTCAAAAGCCTTTTAAGGATGTGACATACAAAGACAATCACAATGTCCTTTTTGGCATTCCATTGATTAGATGTTCATTTCTAATTATTCATCTATGGAAACTTTCTCTTTTTTTGGCCAAGGAAGTATGGCACTCAATAGGCTTACGCCAGAAGATGGTGAGTTCAAGGCCAGCCTTGGGCTACATAGCAAGACCATGTCCCAAAAAAGTCAAGCAAACAAGCAAACAAAAAAAATGAAGTAAGGAAACAGAAACAGAAAGCTCTCTGCTTCTTTGGCTACTCTTCAGGGATAACTTCAATTACCGTTTAAACAAAGTACATATGTCACTTTGCAGTCACAGGAGAATTGAGCCAGGGTCCTAAGACAGATCAAAATTCATGGATGCTTTACGTCTATATTTTTTTCTGTACGTGTATACAACTTATATTCATCTTCTCATATGCTTCAGCTCATCTCTAGGTATATGCTTACAGTATGAATATCATGTGACTTATGTAAATTATTACTGTGCTTTATTATTTAGAGAATGACAAGAAAATGTCTATACAATGTTCAGCACACATGGAAGTTTTAAAATATAATTTCAATCTGTGGTTTGTTAAATCTGTGGGTGAGGAATTTACAGATAATGAAGGCTGGCAGTTGCAGAGCTGGTATCTCTTTCATTCCTGCCTTTAACCACCCACTCGTACATATCTCACCCCATTCTAAACTAGTGGAGGCACCTCACATGTTGATTGAATTGTATGGGAGAATAGGATACAGCCTGAGTGCCCAAACAAGCCACCTTCTTTTCAGTCCTTATCCATATCCCAGCTGAAGATGGTGACAGCAGTTAACTTTGACAGGGGATTCATGTACCATGATGACTTTTTCAAACACAACCGTGTCATTCACTTGCCAGCACTTCTATGTTACGGGTACAGCAGTATGCCAGGCTTTAAGCAAGGGACCTAAAACAGATGCTTTGGTTGGCCCACCCCAAGCCACACAGAATATTGGTAATTCTATTGATCCAGGTCTAAGTCTGAATCTTTTCTTTCAACCTCTACATCACCCAATGGCTCTCATAATTTGCAGTTTCCCATAAGAAGATGTGAAAGTGTGTCTAAATATCATTGAAGGAGAAAATTTTAGCACCATAACTGTCTGATGCCAAGCATGCAAACTTATGCAGCCTCTAGACCACCAAATACTTGGTTTACATGAACACAACCATCACAGCATTTGAAAAGCTTTGATAGTCATGCAAGGGAGCAATTTTAGACTCTTTCTGGATGTAAGTTTTACCTAATACTTGGGCAAGGTTTACCTTTCCCCCCCACAAATCAGAACATAAGTGATCTGAGCTGAAGGCCAAGACAGAAATTTTAAAGAAAAAAATAATATATGTTCCTTAATCGCATTGCTGTGGAAAGTGCATTCCCCCCTCAGACTACTGCTGTACTTTGGAGACTTGCGGTCACCTGACATGATGACACAGAAGAAATGAAGATAATTACATTGAGTTCAACTAAACGGGGAAGGAAGATGTGAATGTGTTGAATTTTGGGTCAGTGATTCTTCTCCATCCATTGTGTAGGAGAACTAGAAGGTTCCCGCTGGTACTGAGGTTCTTAATGTGGTAGCTTCAAACCTAAATAAGGATACTATTCTGAACTCTCTTCAAGTGGGGAATATCACATGTCTGGTGCTATCCTAATGTTCTGAAGACTTCCCTTGAAGTGGCTACCCTCTGCCTCACTCACCATTCGTCACATTACAGGATGCAAAGAGATGGCTTGTAGGCGCTGACACTTCAGCCTGACTCATCCGACTGACGCCTTACTCCTCAAATAATTGGGGGATTATGTTCATTCTCTTTAGACTTTACCTTTTGCATAAACCATATCATAGTAGAGATTTCCCAAACCAAAGACCTCCAGAGTTTTTTTTTCTTTCTTTGCCTATATTTTTTGAGGTTGACCCATGGATTTTGCATATTTCTTCATGTGTGATGATCATTTCCCTCAGTCACTTCACTGTCAAATTCTTAAATTTCAGTTAAAGGATGGCCGTGCATATGTGTGTGTGTGTGTGTGTGTGTGTGTGTGTGTGCGCGCGCGTGCATGTATGTGTGTGCTTGTGTGTGTGCATGTGTGTATGCTGGTGAGAGATAGAAAAACAAAGACCGAGAGAGACAGAGGGACTGTCTGAATAAAAATAATCGGATCATGGGCTAATTTATCAAGCGTGGAAAAGATTCCTCAAAATTGCTATCAAATATCCTAATTCAGGACCCCCATATATATATGTAAAGTAAAAGTTGTTACTTTAATACCATCAAATCAGGGCTGGAGAGAAGGCTCATTGGTTCAGAACTTGCTGTATAAGTATAATGGCGTGAGTTGCAGTCCTCAGTGTGTGTAAATTTGGGTGAAGTAGCCCATGTCTACAGTTCTAATGCTCCTATGGAGAGACAGGGGGAGGATGCAGAAGAATCCTTAGGTCAGCCATCATTGTGCACTCTTCAGAGAACAGCCAAAAAGAGAGAAGATGAAGGGAAGAGTTAGCCAAGGCGGTCTTCTGCGTTCCACGTGTGACCCTGCGACGGGTGTGTCCATGCTCATACACATCGTCCACTCACAGACAAGAAAACTATCAAAACAACCAAAGTCTAACAATAAAGGCTGCATGAAATCAGATGCACTCAAATGGCAGGTTACTACAAACTACTGAAAAGGTAATGCGGCAGAGGAATATTCAGGGACACATTCATCATATCCATGATCTTGTTGTTACTGAAGCACACTTGGTTATAATCTCATCCCCAGGTGTAAGTCACAGCTTAAGGGGGCACAGTATAGACTGAAATAAATAATTTAAGATGTGACTGTGGGAAACATCACAGTTCTGCATAAGGTATGGTGTAATATAAGCCTTGCTTTAATTGAAACTCTATGTGTACAGGCTAACAAGGTACATTTCTATAAAACTGTTCATAGAACCTGTTGGGGGCACTTTAAGTATCTCTTCTCTTAGAATAACCACTTTCTCTTCAGTTGGTTAAATAATATAAATATTTCACACTTACTATTTATCTGTTTCACATTTTTTTCAATTTTCCAAAGGTCATGCAATTTGCCTAATCAGTTAAAAGCCATGTTTCTAATTTTTTTAAATAATGAATGTCAGAGCCTATAAATAATGTTAAAAAATAAACAAAACAAACATGCCACCAAGCACAAGCACCCGAAAGGGCCTTCTTGGAGATGCGTGCCTCTCTTTGTATCAACAAATACAGAATTTCAAGCATGTCTGCAAAAGTCCCCTTTGAAGATGTCATTTTCATCTTCAACGCTTTACCCGGGCATATCACCCCCATCCAAGGATGTAGCGATTTCAATACTGTCTGATCAGGGCACAGGAGGAACCAGAATACGCTTCTTCAGGGAACAGTAGTAAATGACAGTGTGTGATGGTTAGCTTTAAATTTTCAATCTCCTCTTGGGAGGAGAGTCTCAATGGAGCACTATCTACATTTGCTTGGAGAGTAGCTTGTCAGTAAGGGGCTGTTTTAAGTCATGTGGGAAGGCCCAGCCCACTGTGGGGAGCGTCATTCCCTAGGCAGGGGTCTTGAATTATTTGGCTAGGTAAGGTAAGCTAAGTACTAAACATACCCACATCTATTTTTCTCTGTGTTCTTGACTGTGGATGTGATGCGAGCAACCTATTAAGTCCCTGATGCTGTCACTGCTATGATGGACTCTAACCTAGCTTTGTAACCCTTTATTCCCAAAGCTGTGTTTTGTCTGGGACATTTTATCCCTGTGACAGAAATGAAAATCGAACAGAATGTCAGGAAATTGTCTGGGAGAATAAGGGTATAAGTATATTCATGCAATTTTCCTGGGTGTGCTTGTTTGTGCATTTTTAGCACTCCATGAACAGAAAATGTTGACCACCCCAAATTTGTTTACAAAAATCACCATCTCAAAACCTCATTTGCTGAGAACACTCAAATTTTGTACCCTTTCTTTAATTATAAATAAGAAAATGGGATGTTTCAGCCTACCCGCCATTGCACCAAACTTCCAGTTTCCTCTACACAACAGAATGATGTACAAAGGTTTTCTCAGTAAACAATTCTAAAAACAAAAAAAGAAAGGTCATCTATGTCAATACTCAGGCCTGAAAGTGTAAACAGCGAGTAGCTTCAGTGAGTAATGTCAGCAATCTAAAGAACCTGCATTATATGCATTTGTAAAATAAATATAACCATTACTAAGCCAACGGTGCCTTAATATCACACCGCAAGAGAGCCGTGAATGAAGATTCTCCATGACCTAGTTTAATTAAGTAGGGGCAATGCTAACATCATAGCACTGGTGTAAAAATGGATTTATAGAAATGCTCCTTGGGAGCAGTTGGCATTTCCCTTGTCACAGTCTGAAACACCCTTTTCACAGTTCGAATAAAAATTATCACTTCTTGCTAGTGGCAAATGAGAACTCGCATCAACCAGAACTGGTACTCTAAATATATAGACACAAGCTCATCATGTTTTGCTCTTAGCTTTACTACTGAAAATACTACTTTAAGTAATATCCTGTATGAGCACAACTTCTTTTCATCTATAGCCCAGTATACAGAGGCATCACTCAGGGCCTGGAGGTGGGGCTCAGTGGCAGAGCACTCCCCTGGCCTCTGTTCTCAGCATCACCTCCCTCACAGTCCCCCACAGTGCTCACTCCCTTTCAGTTGGATAAGTATCTCCACAAAGGAAGGTTTCTTTATGTTAACTTTACAGAATGTCAGGTTTCTGGTAAGCTCAGGGTAAGACAAACTGAAAATGCTATGATGTTTTTGGTTGGACACACACATATGGTAGAAATAACTTTAGAAAAAGGGGGAATTGGACATCAAAGTGTAGGATCAGTTATTGCAGACACAGAGGCAAACAGAAAATGAATTGTCTAAGAGCATGTGGAAACTCCCACAACGATCTTGTCTCAGGGCAGGGGCGGGGGTTGTCCTCAGCCTGAAGATGGCTCTGGAGTAGAAATTCCTTTGCTTTTCTGGGGGCACATATGTTAACAATGCTGCTTAAAATGCAGAGTGTGGGTCATCTAGGTTTTCAAACTCAAAACCAGCCAGGAGCCAGTTTTGGAGTTGGTCCCTTCCTGTTCGTCCCATGTTCTGACTGGGAAGACACTACCATTTCCTGGTACACTGGGCTTGGGGTTCCTTGTCCACCTGTGCAAACCACCATCCACTGCCAGGCCCTCTTCTGAGGCTGGGCTACTCACAGGTGATAGATGACACTTACAGTACCCTTTGTGTCCTGTGCGTTCCTAGTTCATAACTGCTGCTTCCTATTAACTGCTTCCTCCTCTCACCCAAGGCAATGCTTCTTGGTCATTGGAGAGGATGGGATTCTCTCAGCCTCTCCCCACAGCCCTTCAAACTAAGAGAGAAAAAGAAGGAAGACACAGTTGAGTATGACACCATCTAACACGTTCTCTATTAGAGACCACTCAGAGAGAGAGAGAGAGAGAGAGAGAGAGAGAGAGAGAGAGAGAGAGAGAGAGAGAGAGAGAGAGAGAGAGAGAGAGAGAGAGAGAGAGAGAGAGAGAGAGACCAAGTTTGGAAAGCAATAAAAGACAGGGCCTCAATTTTTCTTTTTAAATCTAACCACCAAGCTTATAATTTGCTCAGAGCTTTTTGCAGTGCCATCCGTCTGCACAATACTCTGCAGGGTTCGTCTTGCTCATCTTTGGCAGCACTAGGAAGCTGTTCCTATGGCAACTCTGCATTTTGCTGATGGGGAAATGGGAGCATGGCGAGGTCAAGGTTTCACTCAGGGCAACTTGGTACTTGAGTAGCAGACATAGCATTTTAATTTGAAGTCTGCTGAAAACACATAACCAGTATTTATAGCAACTCATATTTCCCTTTTTGAACCTGTGTGGGGAATTGCAAACTCATGTATTAGGCAGGTAGTTTCCACCAGTGGAACAGGCTCAGATTGGAGTAAGGCAGTTTGGAATTCCCCTAATTATCTATATGAGAAGATACCCATGGCCCCATTCCAGTCAGTTATAGCATGAAGAACCTGCTTACCACTGAGGGCACACAATCATGTCTTCAGAAGAAAGATGCAATCACAGACAGTTGTTAGCATTTAAAACTTTTTATGTGTAGTTTATACCTGAAATGCCAACACCTTCCAGGAATACAGAAGCACTGTGGATTCCAGCCCTGCCTGATTTTAAAATCTTGTCAACTCAGTTCTATACCAGCAGGGTGGAATCGAACTCCTTGTGTGCATTCCCAGCCTCTCTTTTCCCTTAAGTCAAATCTTGACAGGAATGATGGTAGCGTGCTTCAACGACAAGCACATCTTTCAGCTATTAAGTCAACCAACCAGAACCTATGAGCTGGCTCATTCAATACACACACCTGTTGCCAAGCCTGATGACCCGAGTTGGACCCCTGGGACCCACATGGCAGGAGAATCAACTCCTGCAAGGGTCCTCTGACCTCCACACATATGCCAAGGCATGAGACCCCATAAATAAATGCAAAAAAATGCTTTTAAAATGATCAAAATTAACTAGACACCAAATCTAGCCACTCCAACAAACTTCTGCCCAGCTAGAGTGGTCATTTGGAATGGAAGCTGTGGAGCATCACACTGGCTTTTGCACTTTTCACTATTGAATAAATTTTTTATGCACTTATTCACCACCACAGTGAAAAAGTATGTGAGAACCAGAACTATAAAAACAATTAACTTTATAGCCTCTTTCATGACTCATATCCATTACCTGGCTGACTTTGGTGTGTGATTTTCTTATTTGCATGTTTAAAAAGTAGTAAAATTTATAAAATTAACAAAGTCAATCAGTCAGTCAGTCAGTCCATCACACAGTGAGGTAAGAAGCTGAGTGCAGAACTCTGCCCTAGCAAGGCTCTAAAAGGCCATCCTGTAATGGACCAGACATGGCAGGACCCTGGGTTCCCCAATAGTGATGACAGCTGCGCTTCTTCCCTCTTGAGGCTGTTGGGCCAGCATCTCTGATGTTGCTGCTTAGCAACATGCTGACTTCTATTGGTCTATCATTTGTGTCCTGGGCAAGAAGGTAATTCCTCTGATGCTCTATCGCGCAGCCCACTTTAACTTTTGTCTGAATTTCAGAGACGATGGTGAATTCCACACCCAGCCAGCACAGCCTTTTTCCTCCTTAGTGCATCTCGGTTGAACAAACAAACAAACACACAAACAACAAAACAGAGGTAATTGCTCCCTAAATAGGGAAGCTGAAGTTGGGAAGAACAACTCAACAGTGCTGTTTGGGTCCTTTGGGAGAACGCTCTCAGGGCTCTGGCAGAGGGCATGTTTAAACACAGCTAACACCAGCTGCAAGCCTCTCTAGTTAGCCTCAGACTCTCACCAGCCCCTACACTCAACCACTGCTTTTGTTTCTTCTAAAGTCTTTAGGATGGGAAGACCAGTCTTGCTCACGGTTGGTGCTAAGCACCCAGCACACACACACAAATGAATAAATATTTGTTGAATAAATGGATACAGCAAAAGGAAGGATCAGATCAGTTGGGACCAAGATAACATCAATGTGGTGATTTATTCATTTAAATATGCTGGAATAAATTCATCTCCACAAGGACTATGCTTGAGGAACAAAAGGTACCTGCGTTGGATAGGAGGCATCTGTGTAGCTGTGCAGGGTGGAGCCAGGGGGTACTTGCTGGCTTTTTCAGTTGGAGGGAGGAGGAGGATTTTGGGTGAAGTGTGTGAAAATGAGGGAAAGAGCAGCTGAAACTCATGGAGCAAATGGGGTGTGTGAGGTGACCTCTCACCAGTGTCCAGAGAACTTTCAGTAAAATACTATTATCAAATTCCTTGCTGTCATGGGATATGGTCAGCATTTGAAATATAACTCTGGGACATTTTCAACATAGAAAAACAAGTATAAATGCAGGAGGGTCTTTCTTGGAGTAGACAGTCCAGAGTGAAATGGCCAGAGAAATACAGCCTTGAAAATAAAACTACTTGAAAGCATGCACAGGGCATCATTGGCTTGTGTAGACATTTGCTGAGCACTTACTCAGTGCCTGGCATGTGTGGGGCCCTAGTGATACCATGGCAAGCAGGGCAATGTAGCTCCCTCATGCTCACAGAGAGAGGGGCATTGCCTTTAAGGAGGATGAGTAGCATAGGATAATAGAAAGGAATGGGGTTCCACATTGCCTAGGTTGTCAGCACCAGTCTCTCTGAGGTATGGCTACTGAGCTGATATCTGAAAGATGAGCAGAAGACAGCCTTCCTTCGAGAGGGAAGACATATAGGCAAATGATCCCCCTGTGGACCAGCTATAGGTATAAGGTAGTTGATGGTGAGGAGGGCAGAGCCTGGGTCAGAGAAGCAGGGGGTGGATTCATCAGCCACAGAAGCATTTGCAAGGAGAATGGGTAGACTGGCAAGGATGCTGAGAAGTTGGCTGGAACGCAAAGGAAAAATGTAATCACAACACAAGGGCCTTGACACGCACCATCTCTGGGGGAAAAACCTAAACACTGGCCCTCCAGGGGGCAGGAAATAATGTAGTCTAGCTAATTGCCCATAGGGATGGCTCTGTATGTTAATGTAAAACTAGGGATTATCTAGCCCCAGATGTGAATGAAAAGGGCACAGTGGGTCACTGGTTTTTTTAAGACTCTTCTCACTTGAGGTGGAAGCAAAAATGCCAATTACCCTCATTTCAGCCTAAAAAGAAATGGGAGGGGAAAAAACACTGGAGAATTGTGATTCCGACTGGTTTGCAAATCATAACCACCTCCCTAAAATTAAGAGAAGGGGGGGAATCCCCTTTGCTCTTGGGACCACAAGTGATTAGAAAGAGTTGTTATTTGGCTGATTTTCACACTTCATTAGCATATGCATGATTTAATGAGGAAGCATGCTGGGGTGGGGGCTGGCACAGTGAGGGCAGCTCCCCCTACCCACATTCTAGAAACTGGGGCAGTAGCATCGGGAGTACTTAATTACGCCAACGAGGCAACTGAGATCCTTGCAGAGAGCTGTGGGCACATGACAGAGCCTTGGATGAGCAGAAAGATGGCCATGTCACCCTCCACCCAGGAATACTCCTGCACTCACAGACACGGGTAGCAGTGCCTCAGGATTCCCCACAAAGGCAGAGCACCAGAGTGAGCCTCAGCCAAGAAGAGTGAAGCATTATGAATATCCACATTCTTTCTTACACTGAGGAGAGGAAGAAGGGCATGGAAATGGAATAAAATGAATTCTTGAAGCAGAGCCTAGCCTTCAGATATTAATTCTGGTTTTTCAGATGAGATTAAAAAGAAAAGCAGAAAGGAAAAGTGTCACCCCCCATGCTTTGAAGTATTTATACTCTTTAGCTGTTTATTCCAGTAAAAATGACATCAACAAAACAAAAACCCAAAAACTTTCCAAGGAAGACAAGGCATAGTTAGGCGAGTTGTGACAGATGGATAGTTCATGTATAACAACCAGCCTTTCTGGACCTGTAATTGACTCAAGTCCTTTGGAAGCACAGACACAGAACCCAGAAAAGTGATGAGTATGACAGTAAGGATCTTTCTGAAAAGAAGTGGCAATGAGAAAAAAGAAAAAAGTTGTACCTGTGTTTAAGACTCTACAAGGCTGATAGAGTGTTTAGAACCACATGGTTTGGAGAGTAGGAATGGTGCAGATCTAAAGTTGAAGTTATCTGGGACTATCATTAATCCTCTTAACACCCATTTCTTGTATATGATCTAACATCCCTTTGGACTACCATGACAAACCTTAAGAAGTTAGCTTAACACAGACAATCACTGTCCACCAATCCAAAAGCTAAGACTGTCATTAGACACATCTCGAAGTCCCCTTACGCCACTGTCACCTGCCTGCCTCTCTGCTGTCTCTACCAAGGCTTTGATTTAAGCATTTTGGGCCACGACTGTGGAAATGCACATATGCACTTCCGTGGTAGGATACATCATTCCAGGCAGCCTGAATCTGCTCCTGGACCACTATCCCTTCTTTCCTTAGGTGTGAGAGCTGTGTTCTATGTGAACCCAAGGGAATGTAAAATCAACTCACCTCACCTCGCCTCACCACGCCTCACCAGATATCAGAGAAGTTGAAAAGTGTGTCTGTCTTGGTCCATCAGTCTATCCTGAGACTTAGCAATCCTTTTCTAGTTCTTGGGTCTCCTCAGTGTTAATTCTCCATTATTTTCTTAAGAAAATGGCTTTTCCTTTCCGTGAGTCCCATCTGGTGTTGTGCGGGCGTGCGCGTCTGTGTGTTATACACCTGAGATAGTCAGCATGGCCTATGCCCACTGGAAACGACATTGTTTCGGGCATTAAAAAAAGTTCACCTAGGATGGATACGAGTTGGGTCCAGGCTTCTGCTTC